AGCTCTTCTCACCTCACAAGGGACATAGCTCTACAAGTCTCAAAAAAGGTTCCCCCGTGGCCCAGGTGCTCGGAGCCACATGAGGTGGGGGGGGCATGTGTGGCCCCTGATACAGGTTCCTGGTCCCTAAAGCAGTTTGCTGTGCCTGCCTGGTCCCCTGTCACAGATGCCACCTGTTACTAGGTTGCTGTCTCTGGGCCACATGGTGGCCTCAGTGTCCCCACCCGCCCGAGTTCCTACCACTCAGCTCAGCACTCATGGCCCCTGGAGCTGCGTCACCCCTGCCTGCTCTGCTCAGCTTGGCTGGCGTGGCCTCTGCCGCGTGGCTTCTTGCACTCCCTCCCCTTCTCAGCCAGTTCTGTGTAGCCACCAGACGTGGTTCCAGAAGCATCTGCAGCGTGGTGCCCTCACTCCCCATGTGTGCACACGGGACTTGGGTCCCTCAAGGGTAATTTTCTCTGAGGGCAAGGGCCACAGAGACGCAGTCCCCCTGCCAGCCTGTGCCCACCCCCCAGCCCATCCCGCACTGAGCCACAGGTGGCTCCGAGGCGGTGATTGTCAGGTGGAGGTCAGTGAGGGTGGCCTGTGGCCTGGGGCCACCGAGCGGCCTGTAGAGGTGGCCCACAGGTGAGTATCAGCCGGCCTCAGTCGCCTCACAAACACAGCCCACCCTGCGTGTCCTGCCTGCCCTGGGCCGTACACACGGCCCAGAGGGACCTCCAAACAGCTCCAGCTGGACACCACACTTGCTTGTCCCCTCCTGAGACATCATGCAGGTTGGGCTGGATTGTGAAGGTCGTGACCTCTGAAGTCACCCAGAAAGCGTCTTCGGCCCAGCCATGTGCGTTCCAGGGCGGCCCAGGACAGGGAGTGGGGGAGCGGGCTCCCCACTTCTCACCCCGAGACCCAGGGCCAGGCGTGTCCCGGGCTCTGGGCTCATTAGGCCCTGTGAAGGGTAGGTGCAGGTCTGCCCGCTAGACACTGCGGGTGTCCACAGACCCCGCCATCCCCCCTGGGAGCTGCAGAGCGGCTCTCCTGGCCATGGGCCACCAAGAGCTCATAGCCCTGTAGCCGGCGCCGTTCCCTCTCGTAAGAAAGTCTGTTAAGTTAGCGCTTGAAGGAGTGAAGGTAGGTAAAGACCAGGCGTCTCTGCGAGGCGTCTGTCTGTCTGTCTGTCTTTCTTTTATGATTTTTTTCCATCATTGCCACCATCACCCTCACTTCTTGTTTTATTATCTTGGTTTGATTTTTATCACGTTCCTACCTCCCGTTTGCAGCGGAAGCTCCCTTCCAGCACATTCCCTAGTGGCCTTGTTTTGTTTCCATCGCCCCTGCCTGACTCCCTCCCACCCCTGGGCACTTTGGATTGGGGTGACTGGTCAAGAAATGGGCCCCGCCCCATCCCATGGCTGCTGTCCAGTGTTCAGGAAGGGCGGCTGGAGATCACTCCCAGGCCCACAGCAGCCGCCATCTTTGAGTATGAAGCTGTGGTTGATTCTAGGTCCTAGAATAAAAGTCAGGGAATGCACACAGCAACGCTGACTAGATGCCAGACTCAGGTACTGCAGGCGAGCCGCCCAGCAAGCCAGGGCAGGTGTCTACCCCTGCACAGACTGAGGTGTGAGGCCCCCAGCTCAAGGCCAGACCACCATAACTGATGCCGGGCCTGAGTCAGAACTGCTGTGTGTGGACTGAGGCGGCTATTTCTGAGACTGTTTCACTGCCTGCAAAATGAGATCTGCCCCTGGGCTTCCAGGAGGCTTCAGAGCTAACACAAAAGTGCATGGGGTAGAGTCTGACGCCTAGAAGGTGTACAACCGGCCCCAGCAGCTAGACCTGTGGCCTTTGACACTGGGTTTTCCTATCTGCGGCCTGAGGCAGGGTTCAGGGGTGATGGCTGAGTGACTGTGGGAACCTCCCCCATGCCCAGCAGACAAGGCCACAGAGAGCCTGTGTCAGGACCCATTTCAAGCCCCAAAAGGGTATTGGGTGCTGGATGCACAGTATGTGCACAACATATATTATCAATAATTTCCACAGGCTAGCCTCCGGCCCATAGTAGGGCTATATATGTTCACCGGGGCCCTTGGTGTACACAGTAGGCATGCCATTGTGAGCAAAGTCCTGATGCCCTGCCCAACACATAGTAGGTGCTCTTTAAGGGTTATTTGAAGTTAAATCCAGATCAGAGCATAACCATAAATGAGAGCCATCAGCCGTTGGAGAAGCTAAATCTGATGCTGGGTGCACAGTGGTCTCTAGCATATAGGGCTCTGCCAGTTCTGCAAGCCTCTTCGTGAGGAAACGCTCAGCCCCACTTGCTGTAAGGAAGTTGGTGTCTGACACACAGTGGGTGCTTATATCTGTACCCTGTTGGTCTGAAAAGGAACTGTGCAGCTCAGGGATGGCTCGGTCAGTGCCTGCCAAGACCGTGGTGGCCTGCAACCATGCTAGTGTCAGCGTGACACATGACACACAGTCGTAGGTGCTTCAGCACGGACTGTCACACCATAGGTGCTTAAGCTAAAGCTCCTAATAGTACCTGACACACGGTAGGCGCCTAATAGATGAGAGCTCTTAATGTTTCACAGGGTGAAATAGCCCAGTGCCTGACACACAGTAGGCATTTAATAGATGGAGACAGTTACGCCAATGTCTGGCATACGGTGGGTGTTTAATATGTGGGAGCTGTTGGTCTGGTACGCACATAGTAGGTATTTAACAAGTGGAGGTTGTTTTGTATTTCTGTAAAGCCCCTGGTGTAATGCCTGGCATATAGTAGGCATTTAATGTGTGGTCACTATTAGCCCAGTCAGCGCCTAGCATACAGTAAGTGTTTAATGTGTGGGTACTACTAGCCCAGTGCCTGGCATATATAGCCTGTTAGCTCAATGCCCTTCACACAGTGGGCGTTTATTATGCAGGGATTGTTTACCTTGTGTCTGGCTCATAGTATGTGTTAATATGTGGGGACTGTTAGCTCAGTTCTCAGCTCACAGTAGGTGATTAATGTGTAAGAGTTCTTGATATTCTGTAGAGTCCATAGTTCAGTGCCCACCACACAGTAGGTGTTTAAAGTTTAGAACCTTTTCAGCAGAGACCGTAGCACAGTACTGGTACACAGTAGGTGATTTAGCTTTTGCAGTCTGACTTTCTGATATAGCCAATAGTGTAATGCCTGACACATAGGTAAGTGTTTACCATGTAAGGCCCTGGCACACAGTGGATGTTCAATATTCAGGGACTTAGCCTAGTGCCTGCCACACAGGAGGTGTCTCATAGGATATGTTCAGCACTTGAATTATTACTTTGTAAAACACCTGGCATGCAAACAGGCACACATTAGGTGCTCAAGACACCCATTTTTGAGTAGGTCCAAGAGGATAGTGGTGTCTGGAGTTGGCTGTTGGGATGTTCTTAGGGCTCAAATGTTCAGTAAATAGATGGACCTTAAGAATATTTAATCGAGGCCGGGCAAACACAGTTAATCCCAGCACTCGGGAGGCAGAGGCAGGTGAATCTCTGTGAATTCGAGGTCATCCTGGTGAGTGCCAGGACAGGCTCCAAAACAATACAGAGAAACCCTGTCTCAAAAAAAAAAAAACAGATTCAACTGTTTTATTTTTAAACCCCCAAATACTTCAGCACCATGCAAGGCATGTAGTAGATATTCAGGGAATAAGTAAATCTGCTATTGTCTAAAAGGCCTTGGTGTGATACCTTGAGCATAGCAGTTAATCTGGTTACTAATCCCCTTGGCAAATACCTAGCACATAGTAGGCCTTCAATAGCACAGGCGTTTGTCTTAGTCTATGAAGTCCTTGACAAACAGCTTGCACATAATATGTAACTGTATGTAAGGCTTCTCCCTGCTTGGCATGGTACCCAGCACACAGTAGGTATGGAAGCTGTAGGTAATTTTGTTCCCATTCTTTGAAGTCCTTGTGGGGTGCCTGGCACATAGTAGGTACTCAGTTACTAGAGTTTCAATTGCAGTCCTTCTCATGGTGCCTACCACACAGCAGATATCTGGCTAAGCACATTCCTTTGTATATTATTGATGGAGTTCCTGGCATGTGCTTGGCCCATAGTAGGCATGCAAGAAATAGGCTTCTGCCATTCTCTGAAGGATATGACAAGTGTCCCTGCAAACAGTAGGTGCTTAGTATGATTCCCCTTGTGGTGCCAAGCACATAGTAGGAGTCTGGAAAATGATTTTCTTATTCTGTGAAGTCTGTGGCAAGTAACTGGCACACAGTAGGTCCTTAGCATGTGAGTCTTCTATTGTGGTTTCCTTTGTCATGTCAGACAAAGTTGCTCAATAATTGCTTCTTTATTCCATGAAGCCTATATTATATTCATGACACACAGTAGGTATCTGATAATACACAGTAGGTCTCGGGCACATAGTGGAGCCCAGTGGCAAGAGCCTTCACCACTACCCTTATTTCACACTGGAGACCTACTGTGCACCTGGCAGTCACCTTCCCAAAGCTAGTGCAGCAGTTCTTGGCCAGCCCTCCCAGCCCCGCCCACCCGCCCATCTCACCTTTGATTGACACCCGCTTCTTTTGGGTTCGATTTCTCTTTGGTTCGTTCTGTTTTGTTATCATCTTTTTATTTTCTCTTTCCCATCTTCTGTCCCTGCCCTCCCCGCCCATCCCACCTCCCCGCCCCCACGCTCTCCCCAATAGAACCGTCAGCCCCCCCCTCAAGACGTTAAGTGCACCAGCTTGCGCTCCACGGCCATATTGGTAAGTTGGCGCCCGCCACCGCCAGAAACTCACAACGGGGCCCTGGTGGGCTACAGCGTCCGCTACCGACCGCTGGGCTCAGAGGACCCGGACCCCAAGGAGGTGAACAACATACCCCCGACCACCACTCAGATCCTTCTGGAAGCTTTGGAGAAATGGACGGAGTACCGTGTCACCGCCGTGGCTTACACAGAGGTGGGACCAGGGCCCGAGAGCTCGCCCGTGGTCGTCCGCACCGACGAAGACGGTAAGCACCAGCCCTGGCCGGACCCAGGGCTGCACCCGCCCACGGGCTGGGGTCAGAGCAGGAGCCAGGAAGCCAGGAGTGAGCCGCGCCTCGGGGGGGCCTCGCCACAGGTGGCCTGAGCCTGGGGCGCCTTCCATCCCAGGTGCACCACTAAGGTGGCCTCCTTCACCCGAGTTTTAGACTCTCGGTGGCCCTGCGTCACCCTGCGTGGAGGGAGGCAGGCGGCGCCTCCAACACACGATGACCTGTTAAAGAGTCCAGGTAGCTTGAAGTGGGAAAGCCATGTGACAGGCTAGTGTGAGCTAGGATCCGAGCATCGTCGAGTGAAATGCTGTCAGTGCCCAGCGTGGGGAGGGAGGGTTTGGATCTGATGACAAGCTTGAAAGAACCGATTCCCAGCCTAGAGTCCCAGCCTAGCAGACCGGGGGTCGATGGGTTTGGACGGACTGCCTAGTGTGTCCCAGCTTGGTAATCACCTGGGATCACAGATTCCATCTTCCAGGTCTCAGTTTCCCCACCTGTAGACCCCAGAGATGTGTATCAGTTCAGAGGAGAACAAGTGCTAAGAAATAGGCTTTGGAGAGGGGACCTCGGTTGGTAGTTGAGCAGCAGGTCCTGGGAACCTAGGGGTTGGAGGGGGCCATTCCCTCCTGGGCCAGCAGCTACCCAGTACCCTGGCCCGGGGCAGGGCCTGGTGCCCTGGTAACAGCCCCGCCGCCCCCCTCCTGCCCGCCAGTGCCCAGCGCGCCCCCGCGGAAGGTGGAGGCGGAGGCGCTCAACGCCACGGCCATCCGAGTGCTGTGGCGCTCGCCCACGCCCGGCCGGCAGCACGGGCAGATCCGCGGCTACCAGGTCCACTATGTGCGCATGGAAGGCGCCGAGGCCCGTGGGCCACCGCGCATCAAGGACATCATGCTGGCAGATGCCCAGGTGGGCAGGCATGGCTGGGGTGGCAGGGGCGCCTGGGCACTGTCTCCTCTCTGCTACCCACTCCACTGCTGGCCCCCCTCTCACGGCCCTCCTCTCTCCCCTGCCACCGCCTCCCGCTCAGTGGGAGATGGACGACACTGCCGAATATGTAAGTAGTCTCCCAGGCCATCCTGTTGCCCTCACTGTGCAGTCTGCACGCCCGTGGTCGCGACGTCTCCTCCCGTGTCCCCCACATGCCCTCTGCTGCTTCTGATGGACCCAGGGTGGGGAAGGACAGCTGCCAGGCTGGTACACCAGAGTGGCCAGAGGCGCCTCCAGAGCAGAATGGAATTGCTGTGTGTCCTCGGGCAAGGCACTGCCTGTCTCTGGGCTGCTTTCAGTCCTGTTGACAGGAGACAAGGTCTAAAGTGGCCACTAGCCTGGCTGGGGCCCTGCAGGGGAGGCGCTCTGTCCTGCCTGCGTTTCTGTCCCCTCCCCCACTCCTGTGCTCCCAGGCATGCTGTGTGCTCATGTGCTTTGCCTGCCTGTCTGCCCGCAGGGTGCACACCACGCATGTGCACAGTTGTTTGCGAGCCGTGTTAGTCACCACTTGAGTTGCCGCGGGCCCGGGGTGGGATGGTGGCCAAGGCTCCCGAGTCCTCAGGAAGAGGGCATGTCCGAGGGCAGCAGGACCCCAAGTGCTTGCACACCCGCTATCTGAGGTGCTGTGTGACAGACGGCGCCGCAGTGTGGCGTCACGCCGCCTCCTGTATAGGGGAGAACCCCAAGCACTGAGTGCTCCACACCGGGGAAGGGTGAGGCTCGCCACAGGGAGGTGTCTCCAGAGGTGCCTGCACCTCCACAGCCAGCCTCTTCTGCCTTCTCGGTGTTGGTTCTAAGTCTGCAGTTTACACCTTAGCTGCTTTCATAACTGGCTTTCAAAATCCCAGATAGTATAACTTACGTTTTTCAAGTTGGTTGTGGGCATCCCTGACGACTCATGACTCGGAGGAAGGCCAAGCCATGCAAAGGCCCTGGCGCAGGATGGGCTGGGGCTGAGGGAGCAGGAGGCGTGGGGAGGCCTCAACTGACTCCACAGAAGAGGGGAGACCTGGAGGATCTTGGGCAGAGGCAGCACTGCTCACGGAACTCTGGTGGCTGCTGCCACGTGGGTGGCGCTGGGGACCTGTGGTGACAGCAGGGCCTGGGGCGTGTGCTGTTGACGGGAGTGTGGACACTGCATGCTGTGCCTACGCATGCTCGCCAGCCTGGCGTCCGTCCGCGTCTTAGGGGAGAGGGCGGGCAGGGCCTGCCCCGTTGCTGACCCGCCTCATCCACACCTACAGGAAATGGTGATCACCAACCTGCAGCCTGAGACCGCTTACTCTATCACAGTAGCCGCGTACACCATGAAAGGCGATGGCGCTCGCAGCAAGCCAAAGGTGGTGGTGACCAAGGGAGCAGGTAGGAGACTACCCTACCCGCTGCAGGGCCCAGAGCAGTTCGCATGACTCTCAAGACTGTCGCTTAAACATACACCAGGATGGGCCCAAGAGAGGAAAGGCAAGGGTTACCCAGAGATCTCCAGGTCCCAGACACCGCTAACCACTATCCGGCTCTGTCTCTCAGCTGGAATGTGGGAGTCGGGCTTCCGGTGCTGAAAGGCTGCTCAAAAGATGCCCTCGCGCCCCACCCTGGAACCCAAGCCTTTGCTTAAAAGAAGTCCTTCCTAAAATGCACTTTTAAAACTAGGCTTTAAGGGCTGGGGGCGTGGTCAAGGTGGGGCCCCGCCTAGAATCCCTCAGTGAGGGTCTGGGGGCGTGGTCAGGGGCGGAGGTGCTGAATGGCAGCAGCGGAGGCTTGGGGCTGACTCTAACCCAGGGACAACTGACCTTCTCTCCGCAGTGCTGGGCCGCCCCACCCTGTCGGTGCAGCAGACCCCCGAGGGCAGCCTGCTGGCGCGCTGGGAGCCCCCCGCGGACGCGGCTGAGGACCCTGTGCTCGGCTACCGCCTGCAGTTTGGGCGTGAAGATGCGGCCCCGGCCACGCTGGAGTTAGCGGCGTGGGAGCGGCGGTTTGCAGCGCCTGCACACAAGGGCGCCACCTACGTGTTCCGGCTGGCGGCACGCGGCCGCGCGGGGCTGGGCGAAGAGGCGGCGGCGGCACTGAGCATCCCCGAAGACGCCCCGCGTGGCTTCCCACAGATCCTGGGCGCTGCGGGCAATGCGTCCGCGGGCTCCGTGCTGCTGCGCTGGCTGCCGCCCGTGCCCGCCGAGCGCAATGGCGCCATCGTCAAGTACACGGTGTCTGTGCGGGAGGCTGGCGCCCCGGGGCCCGCGACCGAGACGGAGCTGGCAGCCGCGGCCGAGCCAGGGGCCGAGACCGCGCTCACGCTGCAGGGGCTGCGGCCGGAGACGGCCTACGAGCTGCGCGTGCGCGCGCACACGCGCCGTGGCCCGGGCCCCTTCTCACCCCCGCTGCGCTACAGGCTCGCGCGGGACCCAGGTAGGCGCCGCCCCGGCCCCGGCCCCGGCCCGTCCCTCCCCGCAGGTAAGTCTCGGCCTCCGCGGACTCAGCCCAGGCGCCCGAGGCTCCAGTCGGCACAGGTGGGATGCGGCTCGGCGGCCACGCCCATGGAGGCCACGCCCCTCCCGCTTCTCTCCGCAGCGGCGCCGTCTCTGCAGCAGCAGGCACTGGGGACAGGGCAGGCAGGGCCGGGCCAGGCAGGAAGGCCGAGGGCACAGCGGACCACAGGGACGACAGGGGCCGCCCCATGCGCCCCTCGGCCCGCGCTCGGCGCTCACTCGGCCTCTCTTCTCTCTCTCCCCGCTTGCCGCCACCCGCAGTCTCCCCGAAGAACTTCAAGGTGAAGATGATCATGAAGACCTCTGTGCTGCTGAGCTGGGAGTTTCCTGACAACTACAACTCACCCACGCCCTATAAGGTACCACAGCCACAGCGGGCCACACAGAGATCCAGGCTCAGGCTGGCATCAGCAGTCAAGGCCAACAGAGGTCGGGATTCGGTGACACTCCATCTAGAATTAGTCAGGAAACACCATTTAGTTTACGATCGATGCTCAGTTTGGGGTCAAGGAAGAGTCTGGGACCCAAATGGGTTTGAGACTGAGGAGGATCAGTGTTGGGCCTCTTCCTGGGATCGAGGCTCAGTCAGCGATGGGGCTCACCCCAGGTTGCTCAGTCTAGACTGATACTCAGTCGGGGGTTCCTACTGCAGCCAGAATGTTGTGTGGGGTTGAGGCCCAGCCAGGATTGGGGCTTAGCATTAGGGACTGCCTGGAACATTCGGGTTGGTTCTCAGGCTGGCTTCAGGGCTTAGTTGAGGTTGAAGGTTGACCAGGGGTCAAGGTTTAGTTGGACCTGAAGTTCAGTCAGGATTGGGGGGATCTCAATGCTCAGCTTGGGACTGGGTGGTAAGGACAGGCATCCTGAGCTTGTCCTGAGCCCAGCTGGGGTGGACGGGCTCCGAGTCGCCCTGGTTGAGCCATCCCCGTCCTCAGATCCAGTACAATGGGCTCACGCTGGATGTGGATGGCCGTACCACCAAAAAGCTGATCACTCACCTCAAGCCGCACACCTTCTATAACTTCGTGCTCACCAACCGCGGCAGCAGCCTGGGTGGCCTGCAGCAGACCGTCACCGCCAGGACCGCCTTCAACATGCTCAGTGGCAAACCTAGTGTTGCCCCCAAGCCTGACAATGACGGCTTCATCGTGGTCTACCTGCCCGACGGCCAGAGCCCTGTGACCGTGCAGTACGCCTCCCCCTTCCCTGGTGACCCTGTTCCCTTAGCAGTCAGGCCACACGCTGTCCCCGTACCTCAGCTTCCTACTTACTGAGATAGAGGTCACATGACCCTTCCTCATTGGACTGTCCCCACGAGGCCTGACGCTTTCCTGGGCAACCTGAGCACCTCTGGGAGGATTTGCTGTGCTTCCGGGCTGGGGGGGACCTAACTAGAAGTCCCCGTGAGGAACTAGAGGGGCTACCTGGGAGCAGGGAAAAAAGAGTGTGAGAGTGTGTGGGCACTGAAGCTGGCCTTTGAGGGACACGGAAGTTCAGGGTTAGAGCACCGTGAAGTTAGCAGAAGACAAGAAGCAGGTGTGGGGTATTGGGTGCTGCGTGGGCTGGGGACAGGTGCCATTGAAGCTCCCTCCCCAGGAACTACTTCATTGTGATGGTGCCCCTGCGCAAGTCTCGAGGCGGTCAGTTCCCAGTGCTCCTAGGTAGCCCCGAGGACATGGATCTGGAGGAGGTGAGGCCAGCGGGCGCCCTTTCTCCCCCTCCCCTCCCCCGGGCTCTCCCCTCCCCCCCAGGCCCTCCCCTCCCCCCCAGGCCCTCCCCCTCCCCCCAGCCCCAGGCCCGTGCACAGCTGCCTGTGATGCCCGATATCCCAGGGGCTCTGAGCTGCTGCGCTGCTGTCTCCACAGCTCATCCAGGACATCTCCCGGCTGCAGAGGCGCAGCCTGCGGCACTCGCGCCAGCTGGAGGTACCCCGGCCCTACATCGCTGCCCGCTTCTCCATCCTGCCAGCTGTCTTCCACCCCGGGAACCAGAAGCAGTATGGCGGCTTTGACAACCGTGGCTTGGAGCCAGGCCACCGCTACGTCCTTTTTGTGCTTGCTGTGTTGCAGAAGAATGAGCCTGTAAGTCCTCCTTGGTGTCTGCCCACATCCCAGTTAGAACTTCCTACCAAACTGGAAATAGGTGTGGAAGTGGAGGCCACAGGACCTGTGGCTTGCCCCCGTCACCCCACTAAGCTTATGGACAAGGGACCTCGTAGTGAGCCTTAAGGCCTCATCCTTTGGCGGGGCTGTGAGGAGGAGTGGGGGAGCACAGCAGAGGCGGCACCCTGCCATTGTGTGCTCCACAGAAGCACAGAAGCCTCGAGAGTGGCAGCAGCAGAGGGAGTTGGGAGGCGTCAGGGCGGGGTCGGGCATCAGCTTGTGGCCAGCTCTGATGGCCGCCGCTCCCCTGCCACTCTCCTCCAGACGTTTGCAGCCAGCCCCTTCTCAGACCCCTTCCAGCTGGACAACCCGGACCCCCAGCCCATCGTGGACGGCGAGGAAGGCCTCATCTGGGTGATTGGGCCCGTGCTGGCTGTGGTGTTCATCGTCTGCATTGTCATTGCCATCCTGTTGTACAAGAAGTGAGCGCTGCAACAGGAGGGGGGCGGGGGCCGCTTAGGTGAGGGACCACCACACCTTCCCCAGAGAAAGCCACGGTGAGCCTCCTAGGAGTGGGGGTCCAGACACGGACAACAAGCTCCACTTGCCAGAGTCTGGGGGTCAGCGGGGTGGAAGTCACCTAGTGATAGATGGGGCGCTGTCTGACCTGACCTGTGTGATCTCATTGGATGTTTTCTTCTCTCCTCTCACCTGCATCCGGCCTGCGGACAGCAAACCCGACAGGTGAGGACTGGTCTGAGGCAGGAGGATGGTGGGTGGAGTTTGGTTCACAGCGAGGGCCTGGGATCAGAGCTCAGTCCTGATTTGGGCACCAGCTAAAATTGGGCTTCACCTGGGAGTGAGGCTCCGTCTGGAATTTGGGCTCAGCTAGGCTGATTTGAGACACAGTCTGGGATCCAGGCTCCGTAAGATCAGGGTTCAGTGTAAATGGCCTCTTCCCTGCCTTGGTTACACGCCCCTGGGTGTGCACACTGCTTGATGGGGGGTCCTGACACGGGGCCACCTGTCTCCCTCATTCTCCAAGTAAGCGCAAGGACTCGGAGCCCCGCACCAAATGCTTGCTGAACAACGCTGACCTTGCCCCCCATCACCCCAAGGACCCTGTGGAAATGCGGCGCATCAATTTCCAGACGCCAGGTGCGTGCTGACCTTGGGGCCAGAGGTGCTAGGGTATGGGGCGCTGCGCCAGGGCCTCCTGCACCCCCTGAACAAGCTGGGCCCTGATCGCCAAGCCAAGCTAGTTCTGTGGCAGCCAAAAAAGTCCAAAGAAACAAAACAGACCAGGCAGGGGGGCAGTGGTTTGCACCATAAGGGTCCTCAGGTGGGGTCAAGGGTCATCCTGGCCATTTTCCACACAGACATTGCTAGGTGTCCACATACCTGCCATGCCCTGAGCTTCCTCTGTGGCTGCTGACTTCGTCAGGCCCCACCATCAGCCCCTCATCTGCGTCTCACCAAGTAGACACCTCAAATTAACTGACTGATGCTGCAGTGCACTCTGGGACTCTGGGTCACCTGCTGTGTGCGCACGTGCTCTCTCTCTCTCTGTCTCTCTCTCTCTGTCTCTCTCTGTCTCTGTCTTTCTCTCTGTCTCTCTCTCTCCTCTCCTCTCTCTGTGTCTCTCTGTCTCTGTCTCTCTGTCT